GCGCGCTAACCACTACTCCATGAAACTGCTCACAATAAAAGGGATATGAGTATGAAAATCCATCTTTTTAGTCTTACACATTATGAACGTAAACGAGAATTGAAAAAGAGTAAGATCGAAAAAGATGCGTGAACTTTGTGAAAAATAATGTGTATAAGAAAAGAGTGAATGCTGAAACAAGACAGCTGATTATGAAGTATGTATCGAAGAAGAATACCTATATATATTGTATATATGCTATATGCCACTCGACACGTGGTCGCCGTGTGTTCAACTCGGCCCCGTCTTTAGAGTTAATTACGTAATTATGAATTGAAGTTCTAGTTATGTATACTTTATTAAAACACATAAACTCATCCATACACACACACACACACACACACACACACACACACACACACATGCATACATACACTATTATTCATTCATTGTCATATTTACTGATAATACATGTACTATTTAAGTGTCGTGTGCAGCAGTTATAGGAAGGCAAATAAGCAATAAATAAATAAATAAAAAATAAAAATACACCATATTTGTCGTGCGATATAATTTATAAATATGTATATTTTTGTCTAATACTTACATTTTCTTTGTTAACTGCCCTCATTATGATTATGTAATTAATAAGATTTGTAAACATAATAAGTTTCTATAATTGGCGTCAGTGCTGCATACTTATTTTTGTATTGAAATAACTAAACTGCTGTTGAAACTTTGTTGTATGAATAAATATGTTGACATATACCACCTGCTTGAGATCCAGTAATTAGTCAAATAAAATGTCGATCCAGATCACACATCGCAAAACCAAAAGATACAGTTAGTTAATCCTGTAAATATTAAATTAAAAGTAGCAATTTACTTTTTCTTGTCGGAGTTTGTTTCGCCAGTTCTCAGACAAGACTCCCATAATTATAACTGGTGGTAGATTACAGTAGCCAGCGGTAAATAAGTAAGTCTAAAATGTATTATAAAAACAATTTAATTTAATAAATGTAAACGTTGCCATAATTTTTTTTTTGTATTGTGTATATGTCCAATTGTATTGGTTTTTGAAGGTAGACAATCAATATCTCAGTCTTATGTGAACTCGGAACCTGTTAAGGGTCCGAAACATCAATAAAACTAAATACAAAGGCTATGAAAAAGTTGTTGTTTCATTTTTCAAATAAAAGAATATGAACCAAGCAAATAATCATGACATATTGAACTCGTATTATTTATTGTATGCCATATTAAAACTGTAATAATGGTCATTATTTTAATATGAGTGTACAGGTATTACGGCTATCAAAAGTTTCCCTTAAATTACTTTAAAAGTTACAAATTTGAGGGAATAAAATAAAATTAACAATAGAAATTACATGTCTTGAAAACTTTGATAATTATAGTAACAATTAAAAGTTGATGAAAAAGCATGAAACAACTTCTAAACGGTTTCATCGCGTTTTTATTTAGTTTCATTGACGTTTTGGACCCTTAACAGGTTCCGTGTTCACATAAGATCAAAGACTTTATTCATGAATAGTGCTCGTGAAAATATAAGAAATTAATATAGAAAATATATTTTATGGAGAAAATTTTGAAGGTGTATGATTTAATATTTAAAAAAGAAATCATTTCAGTTATAAGCGATTCCAAATTTTCGAATCATAGTCTAATTTAAACTTTAAACGGCCCTTTGTTACGTTAAAACGAGACAGAGTAATCTAAATTGCAGAGAAAAATACCTGCGGGCCTCAGTCGCTATCAAAGTGGGCTCCGCTGGAGCACACAGATGTCGTAGATAGAAGCTTTGCGAGCATTCAGCGGCCAGTTAGCATTCAGAAAGACGCCGCGGGCGAACGCGCGATAACATCGTCGCAGTGTGCTGTGTGACGAGTAACGTTACCGGGCCAAAGGTTTGCCAGCAATCGACCATACTTACATATCAATAAAATTATGGAATTATGGAAAAACTTTATTATTTCTTCACAATTTACAATAAAGAACATCATGGTGTGCATCCTTTTAAGTACATATAACACCTGTATCAGGAGGCCACCGCTCTTCCAGTCATTATATAGGAATTTACTTATAAATGTTATGACAAAATATAACATTTATAAGAAAGAAAAAGACAATAGCATTACTGATTCAATAAGGAAACCAATATTAAGCTTACTATTTAATGCCCATCCTACTAACTGCGTGTGGTTTTGTCAGTGTGTATGTGTGAGTGCGAGTGACTGTATGTGAATGTGAGTGTATGTGAGAAAAAATGTGTTAATACAAGGTTGTTAATATATACTCGAATCTAAAGCGTTATCGAATAGATTTTATTAGTCTTTCTGTCTTTGTAAAATGGAAGGGAATACAGATACATAATATTTTTACAATTTTGCATTCATAACGTTATGTCGTTATTATTGATCCATCTCAGACACTATTTTGCTAGAAACGCAATTGCTACAGTTGATTTTTTAAATAAATTTATATATATTATGTGAATATACTTAATAGAATGTATACGAAAGGTTTCAGAAGAGAAAAATAATGTCATAGCAATGTAGGTACTTAGTTCTTGATGTTTATTAAAATAGTTCTAATATACGATATTATTTGAATACAAAAGAAGAATTAAGAAATAGAAAGCTCACAAGTAAAGGTAACTTAGATTTCCGCGGTACAATTTGACATTTGCTTTATAATAACTTCATACGACTTATATATACCAATATAACAAGGCACCTGAAGGCCTATTCTATCTCTCCGAATAACGAACAACTGCAAAGAATTTATATTATGACGGAGGTTCCTACCTTCGATGCACACACAATTTTCACCAGTATGAATTAACAAATCGATAAGAACGTTTCGATTTGATTTTCCGAATTTTAGTTCGTAGACAAACAGTGAAGACCCGCTGGTCGATATCTAAATCATAATCAATTGGACGTGTCGCTTAAACAAAACGCTATTCTAAAAGAATACTTGCTTACCATTCTTTTCATCTGTCTGTCAAACTCATATCTCTATTCAACCGGTGTACTTATAGCCAGAGGTAAATCAGTAGTAAGAGTGTTACATTCATCGCGACCCCGTCAAGATGTTAATAGCAATCTATGCTGACTTGACAGGCAATGGATGAAAAGAGGTCAAGTATATTATTGTTGTAATATTGATCGGGAAATAGAAATTGCTTGAAGACATTAATATTTATTATAATTCGGGGAGGGCTTGGACTCTTCAAAACATAATAATTGCAAATATTAATATTCAACTTTAAAATATCGCAATACCTTAAAAATACAAAAAGTTATATAAAAAGCATGAGAAAAAGACCCTTCTCATTTAAAAAAAACAACTAAACAAATTATTTGTACTTGCTGAAAAATTTTATGACACGGAAACTAAAAATCTGGATCTTTTGCATTTCAGGTGATGTAACTATCAAACTATTTCTTCACTGATAACATGTTTTCAGTAAAATTTTATTTTATCATAAAAAAAAAAACAAAACTCATCGGACAAATTTCCGCACGTGTACAAAGAGCAATTATCCGTCGCCCACCACATCGAGCGATCGAAGCAAAGCGAGCAAAGCGCAATTGCCAAAAGCGAAACTCTTTTACACGTTTGTAACGTTCCGATAAAGCGATTGTTTTGAATGACGCGAGAGAGCTATCCAAAGGTTCGGAACGGAAGAATAATAAATTTTATTCGCTCCTGTTTTTACCCGTTCGCGAGAACTTTCTGTTATTTTATACTTTTAACAGTCCAATGAGTTACAAATACTATATATACTAATGGTTTTGTCGACTTGAATAAGATATTTTGTAAGTTTTTATATAAAAACAGGCAAGAGAAATAATTAACGATCTAGATCATGGTACGAAATATAGACATAATTATATATATATATTTTAAACAAAGTATAGTAACTTTCCATCTATTGATATTAAGAATATAACCAGTAAAGGTTTACAATTAAATTTCTACAAACAAAGAAAGCCAGACTAATTTCATGTTTGAACATGAAAAACAAACGAATGGCTCTATAATATCGTAATTATGAAACATTGTAATAATTTATATTTTAAAGAAGAAAAAAAGAACTACCTTTTACACTGCTATTAATAAACAAGGTTTATTGTTGGAGTAAATTTACGGTAAGATAGCAATTTCAGTAATAGTCCAAGTTCATATTACACAGATACTAAGCAAACATACAACTTTCTAGGAGTAAATATTACTCCCATAGAACCTCGCGCTAGGTTAACCTTTGCCAAGTCTCTGTTTAATAATATGATTTTTTACTAATACTAAATGCGTGAATTTACTCCAACGCTAAACCTTGTTTATTAATAACATTGTAGGAGTATAATATCCGGTCTCTGAATTGAGAATTTAAAGTTAAGCACATCTCAAAACGTACTTAAGCCATTTTAAACGTCACAAAACAGGTTTCAGTTACTTATTTTATTTTTTAATGATCAGTTAATAGCAGTTTGATAAAACTAGGGTCTTTTTGACGTGTGAAACGTAAAAACCTTAAGTTATTGAGAATAATCTGTTGAGATTTTGTACTTTTTTCAATCAGAAACCGGCCGTAAGTGTATTCTGTTAGCAACCCTAGCTTAGCTTGACATTTCTTAAATTTATGAAGACACAGGTCTATCGAGGAGCTCAATGGCGTAGTGGATAGCGCGAACTGTCCGCGATACGGAAAGTAACTTTGACAATGACCGGTCTTAGGATGGGTGATTAAAAAATTATTAATTTGAACTTCTGCGTGCTTCGGAAGGCACATTAAGATTGAGCTTCAGAAGTGGGAACACTAATAGGCTGGCGATTTGATGAAACAGGTCTATTAATGTCTTATATAGTTCTATTTGTAATGTCCTCACCAACAGACAAGACATACAGACACTGAACATACACACAGAGGATAAAACACAGAAGACTGAACACACATCACAACACAACATTACTCCGAAACAACACAGACGAACATCATGATGATGCAAGTAAGTATTGCAGGGGTACTGATACACAAAAAGACAGTTGAGAATTTAATGAACAAAAAGGAACTATATCAACAGAAGATAAGCAAACTAGAATAAGTCAAAGCATACGAATACACATGACTGCATATGTATAAGTGGCTTAAAAATAGTAAAGGAAAATAAAAAGAAAAATGAGAATAGGACTAAGACAAAACTCTAGTATATAGTAAAGAAATGGTAAATAGAAACAAAATAGAATAGAATGAATAAGTTAGACATATAAAGGAAAAGATGTATTAACCCTAAATAGTATAAGATATAAATAAAGAAAAAAAAAGCTGAAAAATAAACAAAATAAACATGTAAAGTACAATAATAGATACAGAACGACAATAAATGGGAATGTAACGTTAGTATATAAGCTAAGAAAAATATAAATAAAGAAAAATAGAAAGCAATGAGAGAAGAATTGTAAATAAAGAATAAAAACAATATATAACTACAATAAGATACATTTAGACTAATCCAAGGAATGTAACTACAGTAAATAAGTGAGCAAAATTGAAATGTAAAAGTAGTATGTAAGCATGAAACAAATGTAAAATCCAAAAATTTGAGTAAGTAAAAATGTAAAATGGGAAGATAAAAGTTTTTTTTTTATATTTATTCAAATAAACGAACAAGTTATGGAGTTCTTACCCAATAAAGAAAATAAGAATAAAGAGAGCTTAGATTAGGAATAGAAATAGGCAGGCCTCCCACCTGCATGGGAATAAAAGAGATGAATTGATGAGTCGTATGAGGTACGAGAGGTAATAAATGCGAGAACTCGTATGAATGAGAAACCAGAATAGAAACTTCTTGTCACTGGATGGCGAGCGGGGATAAAAAAGTCATATCCTGGTTTACGAAATATAACGGGTTCGATCGAATATCGACCCAAATTCTTGTGATAGTTAATTTTTTAAAATAATTTTCAGTTAGTTGAATTATATGATAAACTTATATAATATTGTATTTATGTATACTTAAATTTAGTGAGATGTCAATATTTGTCTAATAATATGTTCTGAGCTGATTTTATATTTATCACTTTTGATTTTACGCACCGCCTCGCGTACCTATTATGTTATCTGTAACGCTCCGCGTGACTAGTAGAGAATGCTTAAGGGCATTAAGTCCATTATTTGTACTGTGTGAATTCAAGTACCTATAAATAAACAAATAAAATTCAGACCACAAAATAATCCATTACTACTTCAACTAGGGTCAGCAAAATAACAAAGTTGGAATGTTAGCATAAAGTGTTTTTAAATCTAACCCTTTCTCTTAACTTGATATACGAAAGTTTGTGATTTAGAAAAAGGTTTCCAAACTTTGTTCTCACTTTCATCGGTTTTCTAAAGATTTCTCTATAATATTTTAGTTTGCAAGGATTTTAGGCGAATACGAAAGCTAGTCAAAGTTTGCTGCGAATTTCTCTCTTTGACAACAAAGTCTCAGGTATCTTTGAGGGGCAGATTAATTTAAATAATACATCTTATTTGTATGCAATCTTTTTGGTATCAATCTCTTTTAATTAATTAACCTATTGTAGTTTTAATAAAACAATGCTTAAAAAATCCACCAGCCACTGGTGCTCCGAAATGGGACTCGAAACCAATACCTTTCGCAATCAGGCGACTGCTCTAACCATTGACCTATCCGAGATCCACCCTGGGACTGGTGGATGTTTTAAGGGTTTTTACATTGAAAATATTTATCAGTATAATGTGAATTCTAAATTGATCAAATATTATAAATGCCTTGTTAGTAATAGTTTCAGTAGTAAAGAGTTTCTCTATTCAGTAAGAAAAACAACCTCGAACTCTAGCAAAGCAATATCAAAGCATAGAGTTTCAGTGGTATATAACTATTATCACCTTTTGAAGTAGGTTTTATTTGATTGAACTTCTATGATGTAACAGCGATGTGATCGATGTCAATTTCAACGCTGATTTTTTCAGAATAAAACTGTTAATTATATATATTAAACTACTTAAATTATATGTAGTTAGCTTGTCTATTTTCCGATATCTTCTACTCCTATTCTTATATAACGTTAAATTTCAAGAATGGAATATAAATATTCTTTCAACACTAAGCTGCCAACCCTCTCGTTCATATAATAATGTACCTTATAATTTTCTTCACTTTGTTTACAGGTAAAAGCTAGCGCTCCGAAGATGGACCGCAACGGTTATTTCTTCTACGTCACATCAACTGCGAAAAAGAAAAAAATAAGCCTAATGCAACCTCGACCTCCGCGCGTAGCTTTCGTTGACGAGAAAAAGCGTCCCGGGGTAGCTGAAAGAGTCCAAAGCTCAGTCAGTACGGCTCCGTGTGCCGGAGAGTTTACACGCGTGGGATTTATGACGCAACGCGGTCTGTCGCCGGCGCCACGCGCGCGTTTGTATTCGCAACTTGAAAGCTATCAACCGAGATATCATACGATTCGTGATAATGGTGATAAAAGAGTGGAAAGTGAGTGTAGAAGGAGAAAAAAGGAGCAGAAGGTGATCGGATACCAGCAAGTTTTAAGGTAATTTCTGGAAAAGTTTAAAACAAAGCTTTTTGTTTGTATGTAAGCTTTATTTTTCTACAATGATATTGATGAGATTAATCAAGTTGCCCTGCCAAAATGTGTGTGATTATACGTGTGTAACGTAAATAAACAGCTTTAAATCCTCTAGATAATTATGAATATAAATTTCATGAACTACTTTCAAAATATAACTAAAATATGGTTGTATTATTTAAACTATTATTGGACCTATATATTTTCTTATTCAGAACATTATGTGCGTAAACTGTAATAAATAAATTTTCAAGTTACTAAATGAGTTAAAATTAGTTTAAATTTTCATCAGAGTCATATTTAAAACAATCTAAAGTGACTTTGATTTTCTTGCATAATTTGAAGAGCTATTGATACTTGAAATATTAAATTTTAAAGGAAGAAAATATCTATTCGATACAGTGTGCTTAAAATGTCACAACTTTATATACTACCCATATTCAAAGAAGTTTTTGACACAACTATAGGTAGTATATTCAAAGGAGTATTTGTTTTATCTTAAACAGTGTTTTAATAAAAAAGCTTAGCATCAGACTAAATTAACACTAAGATTAGACATAGCATTAGTTAAAAATTCGTATTATTAAATAGATACTATAAAGTTAATAATTCTCGTAACTTATGTGTTACTAGAATTAGGTAGTAACCCTTGTAAGATCTGTTTAGTTGATTAAAGATTGATTGCTTTGCCAAAAGATACACATATTACATTTCTAGTTATAGAAAAATATACTACACGAATTTATTGACATGCGAAACAAAAGATATGAATGAATGAATGAATTTTAATTGAACACGTACACAATTCGACAAATTAAAGATAATATTAAGAATAGTCCCTAATGATAATACTGTAACTACAATATACATACTCGTATATAAAAAAAAAACCTAAGTTCTTATAATCTTCTATCATAGTGCAAAAGGTCCCGGTTCGATATAGTGCTGCAGCAGACTACAGCGTCGATTTTCAGCTATAGATATAAATAATATAATTAGCGCAACAAACCCACAAAAAAAATCGCCCCTAAATACTATGAATTTCCACTTTGTGTAATCTAAATTTACAACGTTCGTTATCATCATCATCAGACCTTTCATGTGCCCACCAAAAGGGCTCAGGCCTTCCTTACGGATAGTTTAGTGGGACCCTCCAAGCTGTTGGCCCAATGCGGATTGGAGTGTATTAAAGACTGCTAATGCAGCCGGGACCGATGGCTTAAAGTACCTTTTGAAGCACGGTACAGCTTGAGGAAAAAGAAATTGTTGGTCACCCATCCCGTGACCCTTGGGAAAGTTCCTTAGCAACAATAATTGTGTATTGCAGCGTTTATCCACTACATCAGCGAGCTATTCTCAGCCTCTGAATTTAAACCTTTTCTAATAAGAACACTTATTAGTGTTCTATAACACTATTGTGTTAAGCCATTATATTATTCTATTATTCTATTATCTTATTTTACATATTTGATTATCTTACATAGTTGATGAAAAAATTCAATGGCTCCGCATAATTATAGTTTGTACTCAGCTACACTACCACTCCAATTAGTGATCAATTGGCATACTGTAACGCCTTCATGAAGACAAAGTGGCAATTATATCATAATTAGCACATTTAAACTATTATTTTTCATGCTGCATTGTTGTTCGGAAAATTAATATTTTCTTTTTAAAAATTACTACATGAATTTATCGAAGTTCTCATAACAGGATACGCTTGATTTATAGTAAATTTGTGTAATATTTATAGATTTATCCTTCATTTATTAATACGAGAAATCACATTTTGAGAATCTGTCTTATCCGTGATAATTTAGTATTTTCTTTATTAGGGTTCCAGTGGGTTTGCCCACTAACATCATTTTCTTTAATACATACTAATTTCACCCCCTAAGGGGTAGAACGTTCCCATACACTGTAACAGGTATTATAAAAGTTTCAATTTTCTAGCTTCAAAAGTTTTTGAAATAATTTTTTGTTGATTGGGGTAGAGACTGTCTCTATATTTGAGTTTGGTATTCCATAAAGCACAGTTTCCATCACAGTACTTCTGAGCCACTGTTCCCTCCCACACCGTAGCCAAAAAAATAATTTTCTCATTTCTTACTTTAGAACTGACGGGCATAGATGTAAAATCTTCCTAAGTGAATACCTACTCCACAAAATAACTCTATTGATACAAGATCATGGTTTCAATTTTAATGATTAATGCTCAGCTATATTGAATCATATAATTATGATTTAGTACCATATTATAATTTAATTTTTGAATTTTCAGTTGATAATAGGCTTAGTGTTTTAGGAAAGACATAAAATGATTTCTCACTTGTTTTACATTTTGATAAAATATAAACGGTGACTTTAATCATCAAAGATATTTAAATATGTCAGCGACTTGGCATGGCTTCCCATGTAGTAAGCTCTGTTTTTTAATGAATTAAAACACTAAATCCTTCATTAATTATTCCGTTACTTGATGTAAGCCAAATGAAATAAGTTTATTATTTTTTTAAGTGTTAACTTTGAAATGGACGAACGGAATGGACTTTACTTTTTAAATATTTACTTTCAAATAAACGAACGGTATGGACTTAATTTTTTTTAATTATTAACTTTTATATGAACGAACAGAAAACTATATGAATTATAATATTTGATCAAATTTACGTTCACAATGCTATACTGAAAAATAGTCCTATTAAAAATGCTTAAATAATCCACTTCGTCCCTGGCACACAAAACAAAATAGAACCTCTGCAAATATCGTCAAATAAATAAAAAAATGGTCTGAAAAACTTTCCTATTGAAAAATGCTTAAAAAATCGACTTCATTCTTGGAATTCTGAGATAGGACGTGGGATGAGATGTATGTCCCATCTCACAGTTCTATGAACAAAGCGAATTTTTTAAGCATTTTTCAATAGGAAAGTTTTTCAGACTATTATTGTTTTTCTTTGACGATATTTGCAGTGGTTCTGTTTTGTTTAGATAAAATGACAAATTAATTAAGAAAGAAATAAAGACAAAAACTAATATACGATAGAAACTTAATTTCACAGACAGCACAGTTAACAGCACATCATGTCATTCAAAACTGTATTATAAACCTTACTTTCTTAACAATACAATACATAATTGGTTGCGGAAATCTAATATTATGATAACCTGAAATGCTACTATCAAATGCAGTAACGTAATATCCGTTAGACACCCATTAACGCACACGAAGTAAATCACCAATACAAATTGACTATAAACAAAACAAATGGTTGCATTTTTTATTAAAAATAAATGAAACTATAGTTTATTTTTCCGCTGATATACTGAGCTCCAATGTCTTCTTTTGTATTTTTCATCACAAAAACATTGCATATATTTATTATTATGTATAATTATCCTTAGTGAAAAGTGTTTAAGAATTCACCAGTTTCGGGTACCCAAGATTTTCTAACCATATTTCGTAAGGACAAATATTTTTTATACATATTTTTTGCAATAAGTATATAAAAATAAATAAGACATTTTACAAAAGTCTCAATTTTTTAAGAGTAATGACTAAAGAAATGATTTCGACGCTTTAGTCTATGCTATAAGTCCATCGTTTCTATTTGTTTCATTAACTGGTCTCATTCTACTTTCAGCTTTGTGTGTGCTCTTAAAAGGACGAGTAAATCAAAAACCAATAACTTAATTTATTCAAAAAATCGCAATAGGATGTAATTGAAAGTAACACAGATGAAAAAACAATACGTATATGTACATACGTAAGGCAATACCCTTCAAGGTCAAAATTAATTGAGAGTCGGATTCGTACATAAAGGGTCCCGTATCGCTATCTATAAAAACGGAAAAAAACGCGTACTAGAGCCCTCTTAAATATTTATTTCATTCTATTTTTTTTATAATATTGTTATAGTAGCAATAGAAATACATTATCTGTGTTTCTGTGAAAATTTCAACTGCCTAGTTAACATGGTACATGATGATGATCCTGGTGATAGATAAATGGACATTGGAGTCTAAGTAATGGGGTCCTTTGGTTAAGAAATACTAAAAATTACAAAATTCAACTTTTTTTATTAACAAATGCTTTCTACCCCGTCAGTCAGATAATAGATTTAATTTGCTTCATAAAAGCAACCATTTTCAAAAGCTGCTGGGCTCTGGAATAAGCTGCCGTCCGCTATTCGACATGCAAAAACTGTTGCCATTTTCAAATCTATGTTACATAAGCATCTTTTAGATATATTAATGTACTTATCAGATATTCTTTATTTTGTATTTCACGTTTGTGCATTTTACCATCAGTATCATAGTACTTTATTTATTTACTATATTAGTTTTGGCTTACATCTTTCCTATAAGCACACTACCTTCGGTCTTTCTCTCCACATGTTACACGAAACAAAGGTTGTCTGGAAGAGATCGCTTTCAGCGATAAGTCCGCCTTTGCCCACCCTAGCATTAGTACCAATATTGTTATATTAATATTAATAATTATGAAATAAAGTGAGAGATAAAGTGTCGATTATTATTATTATTAATTACTAATTTTTAAAGTTTAAATTTAACAAGAAATAAGCTTAGATAGTAGGCAATAGGTACATCAGAGCTCTGTAGAAAATGTACAAAATCGTGACGTCACACGACATTTCTACTCAATGTTTCGCATTAATCTATTAATTACGAAAAAAATAAGTGTATAATATTATTATTCTTCAATAATATACCTGACGGACGAACAAACGAAAAATTAGTCAACATTCTTTTTTGTTATAGAATAAAATGAATAATGAATAAAAGTAATATTTATATCTTTGAGGTCTAATACGCCATCGTTGTCCTTTTCTAATTCAATTCCGGGGGCATTGGTTCTGTCTCTTTTCCTCTTTTGTCTCTATTTAAACAGTGTTGCAACAAACTGAATATTTGGCGCACTAATCGCAGCTTTGTGTATGCAAATGC